GTGTCAAGAATCATGGCAAGCTATTGTAGTAGATGAGTTTCAAGACACAAGTAGCATGCAATATGATTTATTAAAACTTCTTGCATCACATAAACGCATAACTATTGTTGGAGATGAGGATCAGGTCATTATATAAACTTATCTAGATTCTATAAATAATAATAATACTACGACATTGAGTTTATGATTTATAAATCATGATGCAGTCAATCTTCAGTTTCAATGGTGCTAATGTGAGCGGATTCAAGTCATTTCGCAAAGATTTTCAACCTCACAAGGAGGTTTGAATGTTTGATTAGCACTTACATAATCATTATTGTTTTTTTTTTTGTGCAAGTTGTGGAGAAAGTAAAAAATACTTCTTGATGTTCTTTACATGGCTTTATTTCAGGTCAGATTAAATAAGAATTACCGTTCTACCCGTTGTATAGTTGATGCTGCATCATTTCTTATACAAAATAATTCAAAAAGATGTCAGTTAAATAAGGTTTTGACTGATAATTCTTCTGGTTCTAAGGTAACTAACTTGTTATTTTTATAAACTGTGTATGAAATATATTATATATATTTGATTTGCATGATTTTGATTATAAGATTATTCACTCAGATTAGTGTGAAAGAATGTTGTAATGAGGATGCACAATGTTCATATGTTGTTGACAAAATATTAGAACTCACTTCTTCATCTATCAAAGGCAGTTTTGGAGAGATAGCTGTTCTTTACAGGAGACAGGTCAACTGGTCAACCACATTTTATTTAAAATAAAATCTTTTTTTCTTTATTCTTTGTTATAAGTTACATTCTATGTAACAGGTTTCAGGTAAAGTGTTCCAAACAGCTTTTCGTGAAAGAAAAATTCCATTCAATGTTCATGGAGTTGCTTTTTATAGAAAAAAGGTCAAATCCTATATCCAATTTTTTTTGATACATTTACTGTTTTACCCTTTAGTTACTGATGGAAAATTGACAGGTGGTAAGGGCTATTATATCTATGCTTAGAACAACATTGGTGGCATGTGATGATGGGTCATATAGGCGAGTATTTAAGGCCCTGTTGCCTCTTGAAAAAGATGAAAAAAAGAAGGTATAAAACTATAAATAATAAATTTTAGTAGCATAATGCTGATGTCATCATGAGTTTATAAATAATAAAACTTCTTCCCTTTTTTTTTCTCTTTGTAGGTGATTGATCATATTAATAAAGTTTCAACTGTAAGAAAATGCAGCTTCATATCTGCTGCTTCTGATATATTTAGTGCAAAGATTTCTGGTGTCTTCAAAAGGTATGATGCATTAAAATTTTAAACAGTTATATGCTTGTGATTATGAAGTAATTTTTATTAACATTTTACTTTTTTTAACTTAATTCCTTCTTTCATTTTAGGAGTCACCTCACTCAAGGACGAAAGGTGTTGGTTACTTTAGACATGATTTCAAAGCTTGTTCACAGGGTAAATTTAATTATTGTAAAATTTAATTAAATTTTTACCAAACTTATAAACTTTATATCTCTCATGATAAAAAAAAAATTATGATTACATTTACGTTTACAGGAACAATCCATTTCAGCTGTCATCACATCAGTAGCCAACTTGATACCTCAGGTATATCTATCATCTTTTTAAATATTGTTTAAATGTTAATTAATTGCTTATAGTAATATTATTTTTTTATATATATATTTTTTTACAGAAGTATGTTCTTGAGCAACGAGCTGTTCTTGATGTTGATGGAGGGAAGTTGCTAAATGAAGAGCATGATCTTAGATCAGTAAGTCAAGTCTTTTTCACTACATAAACATATATTTGGATTTTATATAAAAAGTTGATTAGATATATATATATATATATATATATATATATATATATATATATATATATATATATATATTTACTGTTTATGCAGGTTCTCCAGTACTTACTAGATGATGTCTCTGAGTTTTTAAAATCATATGACTTTGATTTAGATGAAAAAGATAAAGAAGAAAAAGAAAAAGAAAAAGGGTGTGTAAATGTACTTAAATCTTTTATAGATTTTATATCTGAAAGAGAAACAGAAAATTTTCGTGTGAGGCGACATGATAATGATCATGCTGTTACTCTTACTACCATTCATCAGGTATATACATAAGTCATAATTTGAAGTAAATAAATATATTCAATTATTTAATTTTATTATCTGATTATTACTTGCAGTCAAAAGGATTGGAGTGGGACACTGTCTTCATAGTAAAGGTACACTGTAATTCTGTAAATAAACTTTTTATGTGGATTTTTATTTTTATAATAAAAACTTTTAACTTCTCATGGATCAATAAATATTTCAGGCAAATGAATCTGAAATACCCCTTTTGCATGAATATAACGGTGTCACGATAGATAAATGTGCCTCCCTTGAGGTAAGTTTGATATTATTTATTTTATTTTTTTTACATTTTAATCAGGGGTTAAATTTGTATTTATCTTCTGTGAATAAATGATAGGAGGAAAGACGTTTACTATATGTGGCATTAACTCGTGCAAGAAAGAAGCTTTTTATTCTTTATGTCACTATGGATTCAAATTGGCAGGTTAGTTAGTATAACAACTAACGAATATTATTTATTCATTCTTAAGTCTTAACATATATTTATAATTTTTATATTTTTCTTTCAGATTCTTCAACCTTCACGTTTCCTGAAAGAAATTCCAACCCATCTTCTAGAAATTCAGGTGTGTATAAGTATAACTACAGGTTTAATTTTACATCATAATAAAAGTCAATCTGACTTTGACCTTTTTTTTATAGGACGAGTCTAGTTCTGTCTATTTACAAGGGAAGAAGCTAGAGAATGTTCCAAATAAAAATTCTGGTTTTACAGATGATCTGGTTAAAGTCAAAGTAAAACCAGAGACTGATGAAACAAACAGTAATTTATTCGATCAAGATTCCAAAGAATCAAGTGAAATTATCTTTCCATGCAATGGCAATGATTTCTTAAAAAGGTCAGAATGTGTTATTTATATTGTTAGTTTCAGTATTAAAGTGTTGAAATTAACATAATTTGAATTATATGTTTTATTGATCAAATAGATTCAGCAGTGAAGAACGGGCATATGTTTCACATTTGTTCCATCAATGGGCCAAAAAAGCAGCATTCAAGGAACCAAAGAGGTTGCTTAACAAGGTTACTTTCTTTTTCTGTAGATTTACCATTTTACCCTAATATCTTTTAAAGTTTCGTATTTAAGTCTGATTTTAGTAAAGTACAAGAATGGTCCCTATGCTTTACTCAAAATTGCAAGTTTGGTCCATTTCTTGAAATTTCCCTAATGTCGACCCTAAGTTTGATTTTGTGGTGGCGTTGAATGTGAAATGACTTTTGTGCTCTTATGTAATTTCTTTTACTTTTTTTCATTACTTGTTCATAACTTTAAGAGTAACTTACATTTTTGGTCCCCAAGTTTATCTAATTTTTGAGGTTTCGGTTCCAAAAAGGTTTGTTTTGCACTTTTGGTTATTATTTGAAGTTTTTGTAACATTTTTGGTCGTTGAGTATAGCTGATTTTTGTATCTTTGGTCCCAAAAATAGTCATTTTCTTGAAACAAGGACAAAAAACATAACAAAAGTTGCAAGAGAAACTTTTTGGGAGCAATGTTGAAGTCAAATATACTCATGGACCAAAATGTAATTCAGTTGAACTTTAATTAATACGTATTAAAAGGTACAAGAAATTACATAATAGCACAAAAGTTGTTTCACATTTGTTGGGGACCAGTACTGCAACAAAAATCAAACTTAGGGACGATATTTGTAAAATTTCATAAAATGGACCAAACCTGGGATTTTTGGTAAAGCACAAGGACCATTCTTGTAATTTACTCTTCTTATTATGATGCCATGGCTAGAATCTGATTCTTTGGTTTTCTTTTAATTAATAGGTTGCCTTTGTCATTGATGAACGACTTAGTGCAAAGAAATCTGCACAAAAGGTGACACTTTTCTTTTAAAAAATAACAAACATATATTTCTAAACTATGGAACTAAATGTTAATTGTAAAATTTATTTCTTTTGCATGTTAATTTACTAGGATGTTCTTCGGTCACTGAAGTCATGCTTGAAGACCAATGAAGCATTCCAGTATGCTGAAAATGTAGGTTTTAAAATCATCATTCAATCATATTCATATTCACTATATTTCATATTAAAATTATTAAAGTAGATTACATTTTTAGTCCTCAAGTATACTTGAAATTTTCAGTTTTAGTCCATATTTGACGTTTTAGGTCTAAGCATACTCGGACCAAAAATGTTACAAGAACTCAAATAATAACAACCAAAATTATAATTGAAAACTTTTGGAACCAATTGAAAAAATCAGCTATACTCAAGGACCAAAAATGTAACTAACTCAAATTATTTCTAATATGAATTTTGTTCCTCTTAATCATTCAGATTCTACAATGGCTAGAAATTCCTGCAGACAAGCGTGCATATATTACAAGGGAAAAACAAGAACATTTTCAAAAGTTGAGGATTGAAACCGCAATGGATACATCTGAACCTACATCTAAGCAGGTGACTTACTCTTTCTCCATTAAGTTGTTCTTTTTCTATATAGTTAAAAGAACTGATTTTTTATTATTATTTTATTTGCTTATTTATTTATTTTGCAAATATGTCAACAGATTGCGTACCTACAGAGTTTAGGATGCACAACAATCCCAACTTCACGTCTCCATGCATCGCGTTTAATCGAACAGTACAAGTCATTGTAGCATGATTTGTACAAGTCATTAAAGCATGTTGCTTTATTATGGTATAATCTTATAAGCGTTGTTGGGTTGAATGAATTAAGGTGATTTTTCACTTGATGTTATGCAATTTGCATGTAAAAAAATGTAGTTTACCCCAAGTTTTGTTTTACATGTTAGATTATAGAAATTGTACCAACAATTAAAGGCGAAATTCTTACATAATGATCGAAAATGAAAGAAAATAAATTTTACAAACGAACTTCACACGAAAATAAGAAATGTAATTGCCAAAACAAAGCTAAAAGTCACGCATCCGATTTGCTTATGTGCTTTTGAATCTAATACATCAGAAAACCGAATCATTGTGCTATCAATCACGGGCCCACATAACACATTGTTACTGTTTCGAGTCTCGTTAAAGCTTGTAAAACTTATTAGAACCGATTCAGTGTTGTTAAATTCTGCCTTGAAAGTTACAGAATGTGCTTTTCTCGATCCAATACCAATGCTCCTCATTGTAAAGTTCCATATCATTGCATCTCCAACTTGCAAAAACACTAAAAAATCACCAACACATGATTCATTGGCATCACCCATGATGAAATCGATGGTAATTTGCCCGTGCTTCAAAAAGCCTACACTTGACACGATCCCCGATGGATTATGTTAAAAAATGACACTCAAATCATTCCCAACATCTTCATTTCTTATATCATTTTATGACAAAGAAACAGAAGGTTTTTTCATATACTTACAACTGAAAACTCACTACAATCAACCTAATCTACTCTCGATTACAAAACACTCATCCTAACCTAATCATCTTCTCTATTCAATCTGTTTATTATACACGAATTAGAACAAACAGAAACAAGAACTCAATATGAAACAAGAAAGACTATCACTTCCAGAAACCCTGATGTTTAGATCTGTAAATGGATGAAGATGTAAAAATGACTCTCTTTCCTCTAGAAAAAATCTCCTGTCTTTTATACTTCGGTTTTACCCGAACACAGTCAAGACCCATCAATAAGATCCGAGTAAGGATCCGTGTGTAAACCCGCATGTGCACCTGTTTCCTTATACCAAAATAATCCTTTTTCATATATAAATATTTGATTGTAACGCATATTATTATTTCAACATCCCCCCTCAATCAAATATTTATTGTTTTTTACAAAAAACATCAATAAGACCCAACCTTTTTAGAAAAAACTCATGCTGTTTAACACTCAAAGATTTTGTAAGACAATCAACATTTTGATTACACGAACTTATTTTTATTAATTTCAATACACCACTTGAAATTTTTTCCCTAATAAAATGAAGATCAACTTCAAAATGCTTAGTTCTTTCATGAAATACAGGATTAAGAGCTAGCTTAATAGTCGAATCATTATCACAGTATACTGAAACAGGAATAATATCTTTAATATTTAATTCAAATAAAACTTTCAAAACCCACAATATTTCACATGTAATAGACCCTAAGGCCCTATATTCTGATTCAGTTAATGATCTTGATACTGTAGATTGTTTTTTACTTTTCCAAGAAATTAAAGAGTTATTGAAATAAACCAAATAACCTGTTACAGATTTTCTGGTGGTAAGACATTTAGCCCAATCTGCATCTACAAATCCTTTTAATTCAAAGCTATCATGTTTTGTCAAAGCAATACCTTTCCCAGGACTATTTTTTAAATATCTCAAAATTCTGAAAGCAATTTTTAAATGAGATTTTCTAGGCTTATGCATGTACTGACTAAGAACTTGAACTGCATAAGAAATATCAGGCCTTGTTATAGTAAGATAAATCAGCTTTCCTATAAGTCTTTGAAATTCAGTTTTATTACTCAACAACTCATCCTTTTTATCAAAGTCTCCTGAACTTACCACAAAATTAGTTTCTAATGGTGTAGCTACAGGTTTACATCCAAGCATACCATATTCATGTAAAAGCTCAAGACAATATTTTCTTTGATTCAAACACAACCCACACTCAATATTTACTACTTCTATTCCTAAAAAATATTTAAGTGTACCTAAATCTTTAATTAAAAACTGACTTTTCATAAATTCTTTTACTTTCTTAAGTTCCAATTCATCACTACCAGTCAAAATAATATCATCAACATACACCAAAAGAATAGTAATAGAATTATCACATTTTCTAATAAACAAAGAGTAATCATTAACACTTTGTTGAAAACCAAACATAAACAAAGCAGCACATAGTTTTTCATTCCATTTTCTAGGCGCCTGTTTAAGACCATATAAAGACTTAGTCAATTTACAGACCCTAAGATCATTTTCAGAATAATAACCAGGTGGAAGACACATATATACATCTTCTGAAAGATCCCCATACAGAAAAGCATTATTTATGTCCAATTGATATAATGACCAAGAGTAATGAACAGATGAAGAAATGACAATACGAACAGTTACTATTTTTGCAACAAGAGAAAAAGTCTCCTCAAAATCAACTCCCTCTCTTTGATTATAACCTTTAGCAACTAACCTAGCTTTATACCTCTCAACCTCACCATTAGATTTATATTTAATTTTATACACCCACTTACATCCAATTGCTTTCCTGTTTTTAGGTAGATTAGTTATTTCCCAAGTATTATTTCTATGTAAAGCTTTCATTTCCTCATTCATAGCCTTGACCTAATTTGGATCAGTAACAACTTCACTAAAATTTTTAGGTTCAATTGTTTTATTCAAATTTGAAACAAAACATTTAGTTTCAGAATTAAGACAAGAATAATTCACAGTTCTTTCAATACCATACTTATATTTACCTTCTACCACATAATCAGCAAATTTAACAGGCATTCTTGACTCACGTCTAGACCTGGAGGGACCCAAAGATTGCTCAATTGAAGGTAAAAAATGAGGCTGACTATCTTCCTCAGACACACTAGAAGAAGAAGGAACTGAAGACCCAGTAGGAGGCACAACTGCCTCGCCACTTCGGTTAATAGTCTCATTACTGACATCATCCAAGTCAATGGCTGCATCAGCACCATCCAACTGGGATTCGATTCTCAACTCATCAGGATTAATAGAATCATTTTGATAATCATTAGTGTCAAAATCATCATAGGAAAAAGGATCACTAGGGACAAAAACACTTGTCACTTTATCAACAGAAGTTGATTTTAGTTTAAATGGAAAGACAGATTCATAAAATCTTACATCCCTGGATACAAAAGATGAGTTAGAATCAAGACTAAGAAGCTTATAAGCCTTTTTATCAACAGAATATCCTAACAAAACACATTTCTCAGCACGTTCAGAAAATTTATCACCTATATTAAGTTTAACAGCAAAACATAAACAGCCAAAAACTCTAAGATGATAAAAAACAGGTGCCCTTTTAAAAACCAACTCATAGGGTGAAAACCCATTTAAAACAGAAGAAGGCATCCTATTTATCAAAAAAACTGAAGTTAAAATAGCATCACTCCAATACTTAACAGGAAGCCCTGATTGAAAAAGAAGTGATCGTGCCACATTGAGAATGTGTCTATGCTTTCTCTCCACAACTCCATTTTGTTGTGGAGTGTAAGCACAAGAAGTTTGATGTAAAATCCCATTTTCAATACAAAAATAATTCATCTGATTGTTTACAAACTCAGTCCCATTATCGGATCGAATTACTTTAACTTTTACATCAAACTGAGTTTGAAGAATATTCACAAAAGATTTAAAACAACAAAAAACTTCACTTTTTGATTTTAAAAGAAAAACCCAAGTTGCCCTAGTAAAATCATCCACAATACTCAGAAAGTATTTAAAACCTTCAACTGAAGCAAGTCTATATGGTCCCCAAACATCCAAATGAACTAATTCACCAATCAAAGTAGAAGTATGTTGACTATGAGGAAATGATTCCCTGGTTTGTTTAGCCTTATGACAAACATCACAGGGTGAAAGTGATTCATTACCAAGTTTTAATTTTTCTTTCAGATGTCCTAAAACTTGATCAGTTGGATGACCTAATCTATTGTGCCAAGTAAATTTAGATACATAACATCTAGTATTAGAAAATTTTGAAGAGTTACCTGAGGGGATACAATCAAAATAGTACAGCCCCCCAGATTCTCTACCACTCTCCACCATCTCCTTTGATAGTGAATCCTGGATTTTACAATTATTCTCAGAAAATACAACCTCACACCTACTATCCTTGCACAACTTATGTACAGACACAAGATTAACATTAAAATCAGGTACAACAAAGACATCAAACAATGTGACACATGAAGACAACTGAAAATTCCCTATTTTATTCACAGGTGCAGATGACCCATTCGGATGTTTTACAAAAAGATTAAAACCAGACACATCAAATGCATCTTTAAGTTGGGACTCAGAGGAAATCATATGTTGATTTGCCCCTGAGTCAATAATCCAACTTTGAGAACTATCAATATTAGAAAAGGAGTTACAACAGTGAAACAAAGATGTACCTGCCATATTACCAGGTGCAGTAACATCCTCGTTGGAAGACTTCTCATTTATCAACCGAAGAAACTTATTATATTGTTCACTAGTGAGATAGTGAACATTACTATTATGAACAGACTCAGAATGAACATTAGAATTAACATTATTAGATTCAACAGTAGAAGAATTCACAGAAAGAGTTCCAGTTTTCTGATTATTATTTCCATTTCTGAATTTAAAATCTTTTGGATAACCAATCAATTTATAACATCTATCAATCGAATGACCTTTAACACCACAATTTTTGCATTGCAACTGACTCCTCGACCTATTCTGATCCTGTGACTTTTTAAATTCACTTGTTTTACTATTGAAAGCTGACACTTGAGTTTTAGAAGAACTGGAAACACCTAAAGCACCATGTTTTTGAAGAGACTCTTCTCTTGATAAGATAGAAAAAGCAGATTTAACATTTGGCAATGGTTCCATTAACAGAATATGACTTTTAACTTGGTTATAAGTATCATCAAGACCACTAAGAAACTGCATTAATTTCATTAGTTTAGAATGATCACTAAGTTTGGTAGCAGCCTCACATACACACTCTGTTAAGCTAGTTAAACCATCAAATTCTTTCCATAACGAATCAAGTTTATTATAGTAATCTGAAAGAGAAGAGCCATTTTGTTTTAAGTTGTTAACCTGCTGATGAATATTAAATATTATCGATCCACCAGCTTTATTATAGGTTTCAAACAATTCATTCCAAATATCCTCAACTTTATCAGAATACACATGACTAGCATAAATTGACTCAGATATTGATCCTAAAATCCAATTGCAAACAACAACATTGACACGTTCCCATTTAGAGGACTTAGATGACTCAGTGTTATTAAGAGTAAGTGTACCATCTACAAACCCTAGCTTATTTCGAGCCTTAAGCCCTCTTATCATAGCACTACGCCATAGACGATAGTTCTCATTTCCAGTGAGTTTGATTGTAATGATAGAGGTTACAGCATTATCAGAAGGATGAATATACAATGGATCATCAAAATCAATTGGGGTACCTGGGGTAGTAGAGTCTTTTTCTTTTGTAGACCCACTACCTTCTGGTATATCAGCCATTATAGATCACAAAAAACACAAAGGAAATAACAAGGAAAACACAAGGAACAAGAATGTTGACTTAATGTCCAGGTGGTCACCACAGTATGTCAGGGCCCAAGACAGTCAATCACCCAGTTCGATCAAGATCAGGGATAAAAGAATAGAAGAAAACAGAACAACCAGCTGATGTACACAAGACACCAGAATATCTCACAATCACAGTTAAGAAAAGGATAAAGAGGGAACAAGAAACCTCACAGTGCACTAATCCGAATTGTTTACAAGATCGACTCCCTAAATCCGTTCTCTTCGAGGGTTTATCAGTGATGACATCTGACCCCACGAGAGTTATTTCAGATAAGGGATTTATCGATCTAACTTCAACGTTTTAATACAGATCGTCAAAGAGCTTCCAATCCATATCGATCCTTACGAGCCTGCACAATCCAAACAAAAAACTAGCAGTACCAGGATCTTGATGACCAGTTTCAACAATCAATCGGGTATTATGAAGAAACCCTAACCAAAATAGAACACAAAAAACAAAAAACGAGTTCAAATATGAGAAAAGATGTATACCTTTTACTAATCGGTTGATGAGAGCTTCAAAAAGCGATCGGAGTGACAAGAAAAAAACCTTCAACCTTATGCTTTGATACCATGTTAAAAAATGACACTCAAATCATTCCCAACATCTTCATTTCTTATATCATTTTATGACAAAGAAACAGAAGGTTTTTTCATATACTTACAACTGAAAACTCACTACAATCAACCTAATCTACTCTCGATTACAAAACACTCATCCTAACCTAATCATCTTCTCTATTCAATCTGTTTATTATACACGAATTAGAACAAACAGAAACAAGAACTCAATATGAAACAAGAAAGACTATCACTTCCAGAAACCTTGATGTTTAGATCTGTAAACGGATGAAGATGTAAAAATGACTCTCTCTTTCCTCTAGAAAAAATCTCCTCTCTTTTATACTTCGGTTTTACCCGAACACAATCAAGACCCATCAATAAGATCCGAGTAAGGATCCGCGTGTAAACCCGCATGTGCACCTGTTTCCTTATACCAAAATAATCCTTTTTCATATATAAATATTTGATTGTAACGCATATTATTATTTCAACAGATTACCAGAAACCAATTCAACTGCTCGACCTCCGCGTGGGACCGCATAGTGTTTCGAATCAATGTATTTCACTATACCTAAAATGGTCCAATATTGGAGTGGAGATTGGACTGAACTGTATGGATAGCTGGAATCAGCCTCAAATAGGACTCCTTGAGAAGAGTTCCCAATAAAGGCTGGTCCTACTTCGAATCCACTATTCACAAACCCATTATCTGTTAAAAAAATTTATTAAATATTTGAAATAATCAAATAAATTATTTTGCAATTAACCACATACCTGAATACCACCTTGGACTCTCGATACCGGTAACTAGAATAGTGTCGACAATAGGCCAACAAGTTATATTATTACTATTGTTGTTACTTGTTGATGTACTTTGAATTTGTAGGCTCATAAGACCAATTTGGTTCCATAACGAATAAGCATAGGTTTGCCACATTTCGGTCCCTAATGATTCTCTGAAGAAGAATACTTCAGAAGCACTAGGGCCCGAAACATTTACAGAAGTGGAGTTGGCACAATCTGGGCTGCTTGGAGCAAGTGTAAAGGTGAGGATAAAATCGTAATTTTCATCTTGCTTGAATGTTTGGTTAATCATACCGTTTGGACCTAATTGCACTCCGTGACCGTTTTCAGGTAGAGAAACGTTTTCGTCAGCTGTCACATTCCAAACGGTACCGTTGAATGACCAACCGGGGATGCGGTTGGTTTTGGTATCGAGGAGTATGAATTGGGAGGTAGAGTTTGTGGTTAGATTTGTTGGTGGAGATTCAAAACCAGAATTCTCAAGTGTAACTGTTTAGTTATATAAAAAGTTAGATCATTAAGGATGGAGATAGTATAAAAGAGCAATGATTTGGTCAAAAGAGGTAAGAACGTACCTTTGGAATACACTAGTGACACCAAGAAGAGCAATATAAAGATGAGATTCACGAGAGCCATTGCTAATGAAGGAGAGTGGGTTGTGTATAGAATATAGATTAAGGAAAATGGCAAGGGGTTAGCTATGAATTTAGGGGAAATGATCGAACATGTTGTATATGAAGATGCAAAGTTTACTCTTTTGTCAACGTGTACCATGATTTGGTTTTAAAAGATTTACAGTTATACGAAGTCAATGGTCAATGAAGTAAGATCATGGGTTTCGTAGCATTTCGAAATAAGAAATAATCAATAACAAAAGTGTAAACCATTGACTATTAATCACGTGAGCTGAGTTAACGTATATGAAATTTTATTACATGGAATATGAATTGCTAATTTAGGACTATATTATGTTTGATGGTTTTAGTTTCATTAGTTATTTTGTGTAAATAAAATTAGCATAAGTATCAAAAGAGACTCAAATTATGATCTAATACAAGTTAGATGGTATGGAGTACATAATTGTAAAAAACAAGTTTACTCAACAACACTAGCGGAGCTTCAATATTTCATTTGGGGTCGAAAATATAATTTGTATAAAAATTGGTGAAAGGGAGGCTATAATCAATATTTTATATTTTTGGACTAAATATGTATAAAACTAAAACATATGGATTATTTATGCCAAAAAAATCAGGGGGCAACACCCTACACCTCTACAAAATTTTGGATCACGAAAATGAACCAAACATCCAATCGAAATATTAATCATGGAAATGAACATACATTGTTATTAAATTTCTAAAAATTGTAATTTTTGTTTCAATTTCTTTATGCATATCTGACTTAATTGAAACAAAAAATTTAATGCATATCAAATGCAATAGTCGGGGTTAGATTAGGAACACCCTATGACCCAAAACTATTTTATCTATGATTCATTCAGCTTTGTAGGAAAACTATACAACCCAAACCGGATAACCTAAATAACAAACGGGTCAATTGGGAAACTGAATTAACCCGAAATATGACCACTCTTGTTAGGATTGATGATGATCGCTTTTAAAATAGACTAGGTTTGAATTTCACAGACTTCAACTTTAATTGGTTTGATGTTTTTTTTTTGGTTAAAGGTCATTTGGAAAGCAATATTCAACATATTAATAAAATATTTAAACTTCTTATAGTTATTTAATATTTACATGCATGTTAAGCGACAAAAGGTTAAAATTATCGGTTGCCTTTCTCTTTTCCTCCAAGTTGATCATAAAATTATGTTATTTCTTCTTGTATATATTCAACTAAATATACAACGTTAAATAATGATATGTATGAATATTAGGACATAGTTCGATGACTCGTAATATCAGATCATTTAATCAAGTTTGGTTTCATTTCATGCTTTTGTGTAGTTGGCTAGTTGCACTGCATGAGTCGTAGCAAGCATGAATAATAGGATAATTCAATGACACGTAATATTGAATAATTTTATCAAGTTTGGTTTCGTTTAAAGCTTGCATGAGTGTCAAACACGCAACCTGGTTAGATATGAATAATAGGATATGATTCAATGATTGTGATATTAATTGGATCATTTTATCAAGTCTGGTTACATATCATGCTTTTATGTAGTTGCATTGCATGAGTACCAAGAAACCTGGTCTGGCTACAACTACGAAACTCTATTATAAAGATTTTATAATTCAGCTTAATTATGTTATCATTATTAGTGTATCTTATATCGGTGCAAAACAATCTCTTATGTCTATATATGTTCGAGTCTTATGTCTCTATATATGTTGGAGTCTCATCTCTCTCATCATAAAGATTCTTTTGTAGAGTTAATATAAGACCCCACATACATATTATATGGTATTGATATCGGCATCTGATTGACACATTCTTGTCTATATATCCTTATCGAGGCTCCATCTCTATGATTGGTGTTAGTATCCTGCATCGGTACGACATAGTTCTATAAGTGGGGATATATATGTTTGATCCCTTTTTTTTTTCTCTATAATAGGTATTTTGCAGATAATTTTACACTCCACATATATCTTACATGAATTTTACACTCCACATAGATCTTACATGCATTTATAATAAAATGCATCAAAATGATTCAATTTGGAAGGTAAATGTTATAAGTTATTACTAAGAGCATCCATAATGCATGGTTTAATAGGTCTGATTAGTGATGTGACAATTCTAGATGTCATTAGAGGATGAAATGCCTATCATTATAGATGTCACATTTGAAATTCAATAGAAAAAAAAGTTCTCTAATTCTTAAATAAATATTTAAAATATGTTTCATTAAGTTTAGTAGAACTTGCATTATAAGAATAAATTTAATAGAATTGTAAGGAATAGTTTAACAATCCATTGAATTGTATATAATCCAATCATTCTAGATCCCCTAAATAAAAATGGTTTGTGCCGGTTAAAGTGTAAATAAAGCTGAAATTAAAAATGAAGAAAGAAAGTAAATAGAGTTAAAGGACTACTATTGATGACTTTGAAAATATGGGACCATGAATAGTTTAGAAGATGAACTCTACGAGCTAAATATAGGGATGAACATATGGACCGGGGAACCGGTCGGAACTGGTACTGGAACCGGAACCCGATGGAACCGGTCGGGTCGGGACCGAGACGGTATTTTTGTGGATTTTTGTAACCGGGAACCGGTAGGAACCGGAACCGTATGATGCTTTTTTTCAAGGACCGGTTCCAATATTTGAAGACACGACAAGAACCGGTAGGAACCGGGAACCGGTAGAACCGTCGGGCCGGTTCGGTTCTTGATTTTGGCCAAAGCCGGTTTTCGGGTCGGGTCCGGTTCGGACCGGTTCGTTCTTTTTGTTCATCCCTAGCTAAATATATAAACGAAACTGATTAAACTAACATTTATAAATATGTGTTTAAAAAATAATCATTTTTTTTGTATTTGTAAAATAATCACTTTTTCTGAAACATTATATACCAGAGTAATAGTCAGAAGGGATAATGATTTAAAAGGATAATGTATTTTTCGATTTGTATACATTTGATCACTGTGTGTGTGCGTGTGTTGTTTTTTTTCCGTTCATATTTATCCCTTCAACTTGTTAAACTGTATACATTTAGCTCTTATGACCGGTTACTTCAGGTTAACTGGAAAAAAATGACTTAATAGGTTAATATATTTTTCATTTTGTACACATTTAGTCCTTAATATTTATGTCCATATTTAGTCCTTAACATTTTTTTTTGTTTCAAAATAAATCCTTTTTGCGTACTTATTCATACTTATAAATGATTTCTTTAGATTTTTCCCATGACATCTTACGTGGGACAATCATTGATGAAGTGTTTGGGGTTGTTGATCTTTGTGTCCAACATGATCTTGACTGCTTGGTTGCATAGGTCTTATGGCTTGACTTAGGTCTTGTATTTTGAACGTCGTAACTTCTTCATACGATATCAGATTTTAACGATCTTTATATCTATGTGTTCATTATTTCATTAAGATTACTCCCGTTAAAATATAATATATTTTTACTTACAATTTTATAAAAAAACATCCATATATGCATTCATAAAAAACGTATGAACAGTAGCAGACACATGAATACATAGTAGGTGTTGCCGACATGAAATATGTGTTGCTGATAAATAAAAATAGGTATAATCGAAAATTTTTCCACTGCGGACAGAAAAAACAGGTGTTGCAATTGCAACACCTGGACCATGCTAAATTTGCCCCTGCGTATGGATATAAAAATCGTAAGTAGTAATATATTATTTTTTAGTGGGACTAATCTAAATAAAAGTTGTAGTAGACTAAAATACGAACGCATGGATATAAAGATAGTTTGCATGGATATAAAGATCGTTAAAATCCGAGATCATATGAATAAGTTATGATGTTCAGAACACATGACCTAAACAACCAAGTACTCAAGATGGACGTAAGCATCAAAAGGCCCAAACACTTCATTATGAATTTCTCACTTAAGATTTCGTGAGAAAAACTTACAGAAATCATTCATAAGTACTTACTGAGTACAAAAACAAAAATGACTTATTTTCTAAAAAAAAAAAAAGAAAAAAATTCAGGACTAAATATGTACAAAAATATTAATGACTAAATGTGTACAAAGTGAGAAATATATTACCCTATTAAGTTGTTTTTACCGGCTAACCTCGAGTAGCCAATCATAAGGATTGAATGTGTACAGTTTAACAAGTTGAAGGGGTAAATATGAACGAAAAAAAACTTAGTGACCAAGTGTATACAAATCGAAAAATACATTACCTTTTTAAGTCATTATCCCTAGTCAGAATTTCAGAATATGATTCCAAAGTTAGGGTTTTATTGTTAACAAATAAATACTGTAAATCCATTCTCCTACTTGCCATTTTACGCTCACCTACCACAATTTACTATCTTACCTTTACCATTAAATTAATTAGATTTCTTATATTCCATGTTACTCTCACATATCGTTTTATGATCCCACTTGCCACTAAAATTGATTGGATTTCTCACTTATCATTTTTCCCTTACCTACCATTTTATTATCCTACATACAATTCATATTTAGTAGGCTTTACACCTATTTCCATTTTCAGAATCTATTTAAACAAGTTAGATGCTAACATAATTTATACCAAAGTTGATTCATAACATATTTCACAATAAAAGTCATTATGCTATTCTCTGAAAGTGTTTTCTGATTGGTTGAAATTGATTCCTATCTATGAGAAAGATGGTAAATGTCAGTGTAACATCTCGAGATTCAGGTACTTTTAAATTCATCCCTATGATTTTATCATATGACATTTTAGTCTTTAAGTGCATGAGAATGAGCCTTGATCCTTGTGGCAATTTCGTAATTCGAGTAGACTGAGTACGATAAGCGTACATGAGGGTATGCTGAGCGTACTAGGGTGCGCCCTAGTATGCTAGTACGCTGGGCGTATACTTATGTACGCAGGGCGTAGACTTGTCATGAGAAAACCCTAATTTTTATGGTTTGGGTGGTGTATAAGAATCATTATGGCTCATTTCTCCCCACCTTTTCAACCTCCATACCCCTTGAGTTGTTTTTGGCAAAACCTAGTCTCTTAAGAGTGTGTTTGAGCTCAAAAGTGTGTTTTTGGTGTGCTTAAGGAAGAATGAGTTGCATCAAGGAGCTTAGAAGTGGAAAGCAAGCTTGTGGATCTTGGATCATTAGCTTCCTAAGGAGCTCTAGAAGGTAAAAAGTCTTCACCTTGATGCCTTGTTTAATTGGATCTCATTTTAGGATCCTTATTTTGCTCTTCTTGTCTCGAAGGTCCCATTTTGTACATGAGTGGTTATTGTCGTTTTGAGCTGTCCTTCCAGACCCTATGAGGGGTCTCTAGCCATAAAAATGAGGTCCCTTTAGCTAGTTTTGCTCCATGCATCTTGTTGAAGGTCTTAATGGATTAAGACATTGTGTTAAGGACTTTATGGACGTGTAAAGTCATAAAGTTGGAAACTTCATGACCCTAGTATGTCTCTGGACCTTGGATTTGAAATTTGGGCTTAAGTGCTAAAGCCATTAATCACTTAATGAATAAATTAAGGTTATGAGTTACATCCCACATACTCGGTCAGCCACCCCAATGGTGGTCTTCTGTGCAGCTTCGCGTACCTTCGGAGTATGCCCCACGTACTTGCATGGGTTAGCCCATATCGAGTTAACTCGACTGGGTTGACTCAATGGGTTTATTGGTTTTGACCAGTTAGCTTTGACTTTGACCAAGTTTGGCATTGAGGGTATTTTGGGTATTTTGGGATTCTTATGGAAATTAGTCATTTAGTGGAATTAGGTATCCTGTAAAGAGCTGAAATTCAGAGTCGGACCTCATCCGTTCTATTCATTTTGCAATATGAGTTTTCTTCACTGTGTTTGCGGGTCGAAGACACCAATTCCAACCCATTGGATTATTATCCTGTTATGCATGCTATTGTTCCGTTGTGATCTGTTAGATCAGTATCCTGATAGATAGGATGTTGTTATGATGTAGTGATTTATTAGATCGATATCCTGGTAGATAGGATGTTGCTATGCTTAATGATTTGTAGATCTGTTTGAAAGGCTATATGTTGGATTAGGTGTTTAAGCCCATAACTATAATTAGTATGAACTTGATTTAATAGTAGCATGGTCCTTTTGGGTTGCCTTCACTTTAACAACTTGATAGGATGATTTATAGAGACAGAGAGAGGTTAATAAATGATTTATTAATATATTATGAAAATAATATATTAATTAGAAATCATATTATTTAATTAGGATTTAGTCAGAAATTAATTTGGAATTAACTTTGGGATTAAAGGAACTGATTAAAAGAACGAGAACTGTTTTGCAAATCATTGATAGTTGCAAAACTGGGTTGCTGGAGTCCTTTGGAATGGAGTAGATGAAATCTATAGGGAGGCCCTATAGAATTTCATCCAAGGCTTCTAGAATAGGAGTTCCATGGACTGCTTAGGTCCTAAGCAAGAGATTATGGTTTCCACCTGAAAACCCTAGCAACCTCAGCTATTTAAAGACATCACTTCTTGTGATTTTTGGCTACTGCTTCCTTAACGAAATCCTAGACAAAATTCTAAGAGTTTTCTCCTCTATCCTTCTCATCCTCTTGCTACAAGTGTTTGTGAGCCATTTGAGGTGCAACATTTGAGGCACTAATCTTTCAAAGGTCAAGATCAAGCTAAGAATCATTGTTATTGCTATATAACAAGCAAGGTAGTCTATTTAACCCTTTTTATATGTAAATTTTGAATTGTATATGCTAGATCTAGTATTATTGCTTTGGAATTTCTTTTGCATGTTCAATTAGTAAAAAACTTAGATCCACAACAATTATGGTTGCATGAACACATAGGATGTTGTTATGCTCAAAACCCATCAGTGGTATCAGAGCTTAGGATGTTTTTCAATTGAATTTGATGCCTTAATGAACTGTCTAAAGCAGAAGCAATGTAAATTCGCAATCTGTTTGCTAAACTCGACGAGTTCATAGCCTGACTCGACGAGTTGACTCGTCAGATGCCTGATTTTTCGATTTTCAAATCTGGTTTGGTTTAGGATAATTACCAAAATTTGTTTTTAGTGCCTTAAATTGAATTTCCCGAATTGTAATTTGATTTTCTTATCAATAAGATTGATTTGGTCAAATTTTAAGATAATGATAAAATCATTTCCTTAATTTAATTATTTAAAATTTGATCTAGTAATTTTGAAAAGTTTGAAATTACACTTTTTAGTTTTGGAATTTAAAATTTAATTAAAAGTTTAATTTTGAAATATTAAATTCTAAAACCCTAGTATTTTAAAAGTTTAAAATACAACCTTATACTATTATAAGATTAAAAGTTTAATTTGTATATATGTATAAGAAAATCAGTCTTACCATTAGTAGGCCTCATGCACGAAGCCAATCTATAAGGGGGTATAAGGAAACTATCTATAAAATGGCGGTTGAATGAGTGTCCACTCTCATCCGCCACTTCCTTGATTGGTGGATGGTCGTTAGCCGAACGGATATGATAGGATATTAATCCCTTATTAATAAGTATAATGATAAATATAAAGTAAGTAAATGTTTTTTTTATAAATTCCTAAATCTTAGTTACTTTAGGAAAATGTGAATTAGATGCTAATCCATGCAATTTCACATTGCACTTTGTCAAGTTGTTAGTGGGGCATGTGTTGTTAACCGACACACTAACTTGGACTAACAAATAGTGGCAATAGGTAGCTCGTAAATTATCATTGTTCAATGGGTAGCAATGTACTTCCTGTTATATGCCATTTTGACATTAGATTAAATTCGCTTAAACTAACCATAATTTTGTTAAAATGTCATTGTTTTTTGCAAGGTAAAAGCGATACTAATTTGGCTGTTTTGTAATAACGTCAAAATGGTGCGAAAAAAATTAAAGCAATTAATAGCAATGCACTTCCATTAAAATGTCTATTTTAATACGAAGTAAAAATGTGGGTTTTTGCTGTGTTATTTCATTTACTATAATACTAAGCATGAAAAATAATGACATTTGTTCGTTAAATTCTATCCATCTTTATTTAAAGTTGAAACTCATGAAATTTGTAGGGTTTTTTTTTTTTTTTTTTTTTTTTTTTTTTTTTTTTTGTATTAGTTTGAATTAAAATATAAATCAGTTTATTTACCTGTGACGTTGCTTTCTTTTTCACAAACATGAATGCCATCATCCGAAAGACAACTATAGGTCTATTTAAAAACATGATTAGGCCCCAACAAACTATGAACTATATGATGTAATCAACATAACAAAGAAAGACATATAGAAAGAAACATTAGTCTAATGATATGTTTCGTTTATTGACGAAATGTAGTCTTTATCATCCTCTAATAGACCAAGAGCATAGCAAACATCTTTGTAAGACTCATAAACAGTACCATTAACCGTCATAATATCTTCATAGAAAGTAAGACATTTCATTTTGTTCAGCAAAATCTGTAGGTAATAAATGTCACCAGACTTGGGAAACACGTGATTTACTCGCCCAAGTGCCTTAGCCTTTGTTTTTCTTATTGTCCATATCTTATCTTTATTACAAACATATTGAATTAGGAATTCAACATATGACAGCTTCAATGCATTTGCATCATGCTTGTTGCATTCCATCCAAACCACAAATTGAGAAGCAACGACAGTGGGTTTAGAAATAACTTTAGTAACATGTTGGTATGCTTTAAAGACAACAAATTGTTTGTGTTCGAGGTGAAATGACAACCTTTCAACAAACAGTACTCTATAATGAATGTCATACCCAAAAATCCTCCAACATGCCTCACATATGGAAATATAACAATAGTTGAGAACTCACCAATTTCATCGGGATCATTATATTCTTTCTGTTATTTTCTATGCACAAAAAATAAAAATGGTGATCCTATCCGATCCTTTATTAATATACTTAAAAAGATATTTCATTTTACACCACTTTAGATTCATATGCGCTTGGTATTGCTTCAAAATGATCTTATTATATGGAACAACATATATGAAAATACAATAAACATGTCATAAATAACATTAAAATCATATATTTTTTTTAAACATAGGAACAACAAAAAACATATATAATAACTATTTCTTTATAATATAGCGTAACTTGTTTATTGATTTTATGTATTAAAACATATAAAATATATTTAATATAAAACAAAGCAAATTTAACGAATTAAATTTAGCTGATAATTAAAATGAATTTTTGTATACCTGTTCTCTAAGCCAACAATATGGATTTTTTTCCTCTTAATCATCAGGTTCTACAATGGCTCGAAATTCCTGCAAATAAGCGTGCATATATTACACGGGAAAAACAAGAACATTTTCAAAAGTTAAGGAATGAAACGGCAATGGATACATCTGAACCTACGTTTAAGGAGGTGACTTAGTGACTTACTATTTCTCCATTAAATTGTCCTTTTTGTATTAAGTTAAATAGAAACCCTCATATATTATATAGCTTAGTGGATCAAGTCATGTCCCCCGTTAAGGCTGTTTGCTTTATTTTTTTAGCTTATTGCAATTTACATAAAAGAACTTCTTTTTTATTTTTTATTTTTTTTTTATTTTTTTATTTTTTATTTTTTTGTAATATGTTGACAGGTTGCGTATCTACATAGTATAGATGCACAACAGTCCCAACTTCGCGTCTCCATGCATCAGGTTTAATCGAATAATACAAGTCATTGTAGCATGATTTGTACAAGTCATTGTAGCATGATTTGTACAAGTCATTGAAACATGTTGCTTTATTATGGTACAATTTTATAAGCGTTGTTGGGTTTAATGAATTAAGGTGATTTTTCGTTTGATTTTATGCAAATTGCATGTAAAAAATGTAGTTTACGCAAAGTTTTGTTTTACATGTTAGATTATAGAAATTGTAACAACACAATTAAATGCGAAATTCTTACTATAATGATGGAAAATGAAAGAACATAAATTCTACAAGCAAATTTTATACGAAAATAAGAAATGTCATTGCCAAAATAAAGATAAAAGTCACCAATCCGATGTGCTTATGTGCTTTTGAATGTAATCCATTAGAAAACCGAAGTACTGTGCTATCAATCACAGGTCCACATAACACGTTGTTACTGGTTCGGGTCTCGTTGAAGCTAGTAAAACTTATCAGAACCGTTTCAGTGTTGCTAAATTCTGCCTTGAAAGTCACAGAATGTGCTTCTCTCGATCCAACACCAATGCTCCTCATTGTAAAGTTCCATATCATTGTGTCTCCAACTTGCAAAAACACTAAAAAATCACCAACACATGAGTCATTGGCATCACCCATGATGAAATCAATGGTAACTTGCCCATGCTTCAAAAAGCCTACACTTGACACGATCCCCGATGGATTACCAGAAACCAACTCAACTGCTCGACCTCCACGTGGGACGGCATAGTGTTTTGAGTCGATATATTTTACTATACCTAAAATGGTCCAATATTGGAGCGGAGATTGTACTGAACTGTCAGGATAGCTGGAATCAGCCTCAAGTAGGACTCCTTGAGAGGAGTTCCCAATAACGGCTGGCCCCACTTCGAATCCACTATTCACAAACCCATTATCTGTTAAAAAATTAGTTATTTATTAAATATCTAAAATACTAATATTTTGTAATTAACGACTTACCTGAATACCACCTTGGACCGTGGATCCCGGTAACCAGAATAGTGTCGACAATAGGCCAACAAGTTATATTATTACTATTACTATTACTTTGAATTTGTAGGCTCATCAAACCCTTTTTGTTTTCTTGGCTCCATAACGAATAAGCATATGTTTGCCACATTTCGGTCCCTAGTGATTCTCTGAAGAAGAATACTTCAGAAGCACTAGGGCCCGAAACATTTACTGAAGTGGCGTTGGCACAATCCGGACTACTTGGAGCTAGTGTAAACGTGATGACATAATCATAATTTCCATCCGGCTTGAATGTTTGGTTAATCATGCCGTTTGGACCTAATTGCACTCCATGACCGTTTCCAGGTAGAGAAACATTTTCGCCAGCTGTCACGTACCAAACTGTGCCGTTGAATAACCAACCTGGGATACGGTTGGTTTTCGTATCAAGGAGTATGAATTGTGATGTAGAGTTTGTGGTTAGATTTGTTGGTGGAGATTCAAAACCAGAATTCTCAAGTGTAACTGCTTAGTTATATAAAAAGTTAGATCATTAAGGATGGAGATGGTATAAAAGAGCAATGATTTGGTCAAAAGAGATAAGAACGTACCTTTGGAATACACTAGTGACACCAAGAAGAGCAATTTAAAGATGAGATTTACGAGAGCCATTGCTAATGAAGGAGAATAGGTTGTATATAGATTAAGGAAATGGGAAGGGGTTAGCTATGAATTTAGGGGAAATGATCGAACATGTTGTATATGAAGATGTAAAGTCAACTCTTTTGTCAACTTGTCCCATGATTTGGTTTTTAAAAGATTTATTGTTATACGAAGTCAAGGGTCAATGAAGTAAGATCATGGGTTTCGTAACATGTCGAAATAAGAAATGATCAATAACAAAAGATTAACATTGACTATTCACGTTATCAAGAGTTAAAGTATGTGTGTGATCATGTCAAATTTAATTACATGGAATATGAATTGCTAATTTAGGATTATATTATATGAATTGCTAATTTAGGATTATATTATGTTTGTGATTTTAGTGTCACTTTTATTTTTTGTAAATAAAATTAACATAAGTATCAAAAGAGACTCAAATTATGATCTAATACAAGTTAGGTGGTGTGGAATGCACAATTGTAAAAAACAAGTTTGATCTAATACAAGCCATGCTGCCAGTTGCAACCTACTTTGATAAGTTCTTCAAACAGCATAAGCTGTCTAACGGGTTTTCCAGAAAAATTGCTACTAACCGATTTAATCACGGAAATTGAACCAGACAAAAAAATTATACAAAAAAACTTACTATAACAAAACTACCAGTTTTAATTTCTGACCTTTAACGAAACAAAAAAATTAATGCATATCACATGCAATAGTCGGGGATAATGACGCAAAACTATACAGGAAAATTATACAACCTAAACCGAATAACTTGAATAACAAAGAGGGTCACTTGGGTTTATTGACTTAACCCGAAATATGACCACTCATGTTAGCAGCACTGCTGATTATGACTTTTAAAATATATCGAGTTTGTTTGTTTGTTATTTATTTATTTATTTATTTATTTTTTCTGGTTAAAGGTCCTTTGGAAAGCAATATTCAACATATTAATAACATATTTAAAACTCCTTATAATTATTTAATATTTAATTTAATTGTTAAACGACTAATAGTTAGAATTATCGTGTCTCTCTTTTCCTCGAAGTTGATGATTAGAAAACAAAATTATATTATTTCTTCGGTATATTTTCAACTAAAAATACAACGTTAAATAATGGGGAAAATGACTTAAAAGCCCAACGAAGTTTCCAAACCGTTTAAAAAACTCTAATAATGTTTTGTCTGTTCAAAAAAACTCAACAAACTTACCATTTTATCTAAAAAGTCCAACTAAGTTACACTTTCTCGAAAGTCAAATAAGAGAAACAGATGACGTGGTTTATTACCATATCGGAAAAATGACTTGTTAGACCAACGAAGTTTCCAAAACGTTAAAAAAACTCCAATCTTGTTTTGACTGTTCAAAAAAAACCCAACGAACTTAAACAAAATAAAATTGGAATTTTCTAAATGGTTTGAAACTTTGTTGGACTTTTTAAATAAAAGGTTAAGTTCGTTGGGTTTTTTTGAACAGACAAAACATGATTGAGGTTTTTTGAATTGTTTGGAAACTTCGTTGGGCTTTTAAGTCATTTTCCTTTAAATAATGATATATATGAATAATAGGACAAAATTCAATGACTCATGATATCAGGTCCTTTAATCAAGTTTGGTTTCATTCATGCTTTTGTGTAGTTGCATTTGCATGAGTAAGTACCAAACATGCAACCCGGTTAGATATGAATTATAGGATAATTCAATGACACGTAATATTGAATATGGGAACAGGTAAATAGCCCTCCTCTTCTCCTTTTTTATCCTCCCTATGGACATTTGATATATATATATATATATATATATATATATATATATATATATATATATATATATATATATATATATATATATATATATATATATATAACATTTTTAAATATATAATTATATAAGTCTATTTTTTTAATAAATATTATAATAAATAAAAAACAATTATAAATAATTAATCAAAGTTGTAATTAAATTCTCAAACAATAATAATTATTATATATATTTAACCATTAAAACTAGAACGATAATTATTATTATATATATTTAGCCGTTAAATATGGAAAAGGTATATATGTTTGTAGTTTTAAAATTTTCAAGTTGTAAAAAATAATAAATTATTATACAAAAATAAATGTATAAAAATTAATTTATAAAAACTATCAAATAGCGAAATGTAAATATATTATAAAGGAATAATGAAAATATTATTAATAATTATAAATAAATTGAAAAACTCTAAAACTAAAGGGGCCATAAATGTAAAACAGAGATTTTGTATTTAAAAGAAAAAAAATAGGGCGATTGAGGAATGGGAAACACAAAAGCGCGTGTAGGGGGGGGGGGGGTGCGGATTAACAGGACCCAAGTGGACAGACACACGAACGAAGCACACAAGCGCCTCCAATGATTCATCTGTCGAGAAATAAAATAAGAAAATGGGGACAGATTATGCTGCCGGAAACGGGAAAACGGACCTTCGGTCCTTGGTTTTTATCTGATCGAGAAAGCCAATCACGAATAAGGCAGTGACAGGGAAAGCTCGGTGGTGGAAGACCCGTTGAGAGGAAGAGCACCTCCGGTGCCTTATTGGTTTGTAGAGGGGGAGTAACAAAAGCAACAAGGGTTGCTTAAGCAACTCCTGCACTTCTTTTATCTCGGAAGGACGGTGTGAAGGTGGGGGATCAAAAGGGGGTTGCCGCCTCCGATGTATCCTCCCAGGAAACACCAACTTCGGTGGTGTGTTCAGGCCAGGAAACAAAGAAGAAAGGGAGGAGGAAAAGAGGAAAGGTAGCAATGATCGCAACAGTCGTTAATGGGGTTTGCTGTTGTTGATCGGAGACCATTCCAGAGGTGTTTGTTTGATGTTCAACAGGAGAAAATAGAAGGAATAACGGAGGGGTTGTTGCTTCTTAGCTCACCGCGAAACCACAAGAAAACCACCTCCAATGGAGGCGTTCTTGGCTATGCATCGAAATAGAAAGAAGGGAGAAAAGGAGTGAGTCTATGAATAATTGAGTACAGTGAAAGGGAGGTACTTAATCAAAATTTTGTAATCTCCTTGTATCGTTGTGAATCGAATGAAAGATATGGAAGGACAATAGCAATAGCTCCATAGGTCTCATACGGGTGTGATGTATTTGAGGTGTACTTAGGGGTTTGGTTTAGCTTTTTCACAAAAAATAGAAAAGAAAAAAAAAAATGTTTGATAAAACTAGTTTTAAAAGTTATTTTTAGAGTTTTTATACAAGAAAAATGAACTTTTTGAAAAAGTTAAAAAATCCTGATTTTTTGTAACTTTTTCAAAAATAACTTTTAAACTATGAAAAGTTAAATCAAACACTCATTTATATCAAAGTTGGATCAATTAGAGAAAGGATAGCTTCAAATTGAAGCTCGATTGACTAAAAAAAATCTTTCATTAACTTTATGGTGTACATATTTTGACTAATAATTAATAATTATGTAATGTGGTTTTGGTGTTATTTTATTTCTCGATTTTCATGTTATCATATTGTCTTTCTAGAATTTTTTTTTTCCGAGAGTTCCTATGCTTATTCCAGAAATACAGTAGTAATTCAGTTTTGATATATCAAACTCCGAGAATCAATGTTTAAAGTTTCGCGATTAATAAAATCAGATTCGACAGGTTTTATGAACCTAATTTTGGTCGAGATTAAATATATGATAAAAATATAATAAAATAATAGATCATAATCTGAATTCAAAAACGTGATTAGAAATAATGTACGATGATTGTAGCTATCCCAAACGAAGCAGTGCACAGTCCGTTTCAGGAAAATCAGATAAATACTTATTTTTATAACTTTAAAGAGATGTAACTTTCTCATACAACCTCCGTTTTGGACGATCTTTATATCCACGAAATTAGGAGAGCATAATCTATTCAGATTTCTTATCCATAACTCTAAAATAAACTAAATGAAGAAAAATTATTTTTAACGCCACAAATAGATTTAATTTGTGTTGATTTTGTATTCAATCTCCACTGATAGACGGTTCGAGAAGTTTCAGATGCTCTAAATGCAATTATGAATATAATATTTTCAATATACATTATAAACATATAATTACATACAATTGATCTTTAATACACAACGGTTCGCGTGGTTTGACCGACGAACTCTGACTGATTTTTATCAATGGTTACATTCATACAAGAGAATAAATCAAGCGTACAAAGCCAAGAGCATCAATTCCATTGATCTTTGAAGTCTTCGCTTTTACAACACCAAAGTCTCCGGTGAATGAAGAAAGTGAATAAACGTTGGTATCAAGTGATGATGAGGAAGAAATTGCACAAATTTTTGAGCAAGCCAACTTTGGAAAAGATGGATGTTGAAGCTAGGGAACAAAAAAAAGGAAGAAGGGGAATCTCAACTTGCTGCAAGGAATAAGGGTTGAAGCGGAAACACGAGGAAGACGATACCAGAACAAAAAAGGAGAATTCTAAAAAAGCATATATAAGAAGGGTGAAAGCTTAAAAAGGTGGAAGGAACAAAAAGTGCAAATGGAGATCGTACCTCAAACCAATACAACGTAGGGCAGCACAGAGTCCGACTCATGACTCCATAAAAACAAGAGCTTCTCGGGAGGCAACCCAAGCTCGGTTTGCAATTTTCATTTTTCTTTTAGTTTTTACATTTTCATTTTTCATTTGCGTTTTAGGATAAGTCATCATCATAGTCATCTTAATTTTAAAGGGTAAGTAATAAAAATCAAGTGTGGGGTTAATATTAAGAGTGGTAGAATTTTTTTAAGAAAATTAATGTTTTTGGTCAAAAACTTCGAAATCACGATGTGGGATTAAGCCCCACGGCATGGAAAATAAATTTGACCCATTTTTTTAATCAGATTACAGCTTACGACATGAGGTTCATCCCTCACGACGTGAGATATAAAAAGCACTCGGAGGGGGGGGGACCCATTTTATACGTAATCTAAAATCTTTGACTACCACTTTCAACCACTCACAAACGAACAAGAACCATCGGTCCCCACACTTGATTCTGCCACCGATTTTCTTCAAGCTTCTCTCAATTTCAGTTTTCCTCTTCAATTTCGGTAAGATTACTACACTTTAAC